CTGGAGTATGGTGACACGATCTCGGCTCACTGCAACTTCTGCCTCCTGAGTTCAAACGATTCTCTTGCTTCAGCCTCCCGAGTAGCTGGAACTACAGTCGCACACCACCGCGCCTAGCTAATTTTTGTATTTTTAGTAGAGATGGGGTTTCACCATGTTGGCCAGTATTGTCTCAATCTCTTGACCTTGTGATCCTCCCGCCTCGACCTCCCAAAGTGCTGGGATTACAGGCATGAGCTACCTCGCCCGGCCCCCACTGGGTTTTTATTGCTCTTATCTTCCTTCTCCACCAGGAGCTTCTCTCCCCTCCCTTCCTCTACCCCTAATCTTCCTTTTTTACTGTCTTTATCTCTCTTCCTTCACCCTCCTCCTTCTCTTCTACTCCATTAAAAACTCCAGCCTAGGCCATGCGTGGTGGCTCATGCCTGTAATCCCAACACTTTGGGAAGCTGAGGCTTGAGCCCAGGGCAACATAGTGGGACCCTCACCCCATCTCTACAAAAAAATTTAAAAATCAGCTGGGCGTGGTGGCGAGCGCCTGTAGTTTTAGCTACTTGGGAGGCTGAGACGGGAAGATCACTTGAGCCAAGGAGGTCGAGGCTGCAGTGGACTATGACTGCACCACTGCACTCCAGCCTGGATGACAGAGTGAGACCCTATCTCAAAAACAAAACAAAACCTCTAGTCTAAATGATGCCCAAGTGGAAAACCTTGGAGTTACATCCAGCCTGTCAGCAAATCCCATCAGCTCCATCTTTTATTAAACAAATCCCAAATTCTACCACCTTTCACAACTCTCAGTTCCTTCGGGGCTGGGTAGTGAGGAAGCAAGCTCTTGCTCTCCCTTTACTCTGTTCATGATATTGCAGCCAGAGGAAGCCTGTTAAAACCTCCTAGGGGATACCCCTTCTCTGCCTACAACCCTGTATGGCTCCCACCTTCCTCAGAGTAATAACCTAAGCCCTCTCAGTGGTCCCCCAGGTCCTAGACAACCTGTCCTGTCATTTCCCTGCATCTGTCTCCTCCCAGTATACCCCTCACTCACTCCGCTCCAGCTTCACTGACCTCTTGACTGTTCTTTAAAGCATGGTCCAGCCTCAGGGCCTTTACACAGGCTGTGCCCTCTGCTTGGAATGCTTCAGATCTCTATTCAAATATCACCTCCTCAGAGAGGGCATCCACATCTCCTCACCTTGCTGGGTTTTGTTCCATAGCACATATCACATAGAATATACACTTTTAATTGATGTGTTTCTGTTTATTCACTGCAGAGCAATGTCTGGCGCTATATGCAAACTTGGCATTTGTTGAATGAATAAGTGCTGTGTGACAGCTGGGGCTGGGGACAAGGCAGAGAAAAAGAAAGATCTCTTTTACCTGCATGGAGTTTACAGTCCTATCCAGGGCTAAACAAATCATTCCAAGAGCCAGGCGCAGTGGCTCACGCCTGTAATTCCAGCACATTGGGAGGCCGAGGCGGGTAGATCACCTGAGGTCAGGAGTTGGACACCAACCTGATCAACACACTGAAACCCCATCTCTACTAAAAATACAAAATTATCTGGGCGTGATGGCACATCCCAGCTACTTGTGAGGCTGAGGCAGGAGAATCGCTTGAACTTGGGAGGTGGAGGTTGCAGTGAGCCAAGATCACAGATTGCACTCCAGCCTGGGCAGCAAGAGCAAGACTCTGTCTCAACAAAACAAAACAAAACAAAAAACAAAAAAAATCATTCCAAGAGCAATTTTGCTGGGAACAAGGACACACAGGGGCTGTGGCTGCATTGAGTATGGGCTGGAACTGAGCCCAGTGACTGCATGGGAACTGCACAGTTCTAGAGCCTGGATTCCTTGACGTCTAGGTGCAAGTAATGGTGCCTATTACCACTCTTCCGCAAACTCCATCTCCAGCTCTGTGCTGTTGCCTGTCCTCTCTATAAATGTAGCTATGATCTCTCAGGTCAGGAGTTCGAGATCAGCCTGGCCAACATGGCAAAACCCTGTCTCTACTAAAAATACAAAAATTAGCCTGGCGTGGTGGCATGAGGCTGTAATCCCAGCTACTCAGGAAGCTGAGGCAGGATCATTGCTTGAACCCGGGAGGTGGAAGTTGCAGTGAGCCAAGATCGCGCCACTGCACTCCAGCCTGGGTGACAGAGCAAGACTCCGTCTCATTCAAAAAAAAAAAAAAAAGGCCAGTCGCGGTGGCTCATGCCTGTGATCCCAGCACTTTGGGAGGCCAAGGCAGGCGGATCACCTGAGGTCAGTGGTTTGAGACCAGCCTGGCCAACATGGCGAAACCCTGTCTCTACTAAAAATACAAAAATTAGCTGGGCATGGTGGTGTGCGCCTGTAATCCCAGCTACTCGGGAGTCTGAGGCAGGAGAGTCGCTTGACCCCGGGAGGTGGAGGTTACAGTGAGCCAAGATTGTGCCACTGTACTCCAGCCTGGGCAACAGAGCGACAGAGGGAGACTCCATCTTAAAAAAAAAAAAAGTGGCTGTGATTCCCACTTATGCTCCCCCCTTCTTCTCTGCCCACCTCCCTCCTGAGTGATCTCACTGACCTACTGCCATGCCATCCACCGTCTTCCCAAGGCAGGTGATTCACAGATGCACTTCTCAGGAGGTGCCCTCACACTGAGCCTAGTCGCCTCCTGGGTGTCTCCCTGAATATCATCCCACGAGACTTTTAGACTGAAGGTGACCCATGATTTCCCAATCTTTTCTTAACACTGTCAACATTTGAGGCTGGATTATTCTTTGGGGGTGGGGGTATTCTGTGCATTGCAGGATGTTGAATAGCATCACTGGCCTTCACCCACTAGATGTCAGTTGCACCACCCCCAATTCTCCCACCCCTACCTCCATCCCCCACCCAGCAGTGTGATCTCCTGATGTTGCTAAACATTCCCTGGCGGAAAACTCTGCTGTGCTGGGATGGCCCCAATCAACTGCAAACTCAAACAGCTGATGTTTGTCCAGCCTGTGCTCTGTGCCAGCAGTGGGACTGAACACCACCTCATCACGTGGGCTTCTCCTGTATTTTATCCATAGGGAGAGGGAGGCTCAGAGCAGTCATGTGACTAGCTCAAGGCCACACACCCACGAAGCCCACTCTTAGTGCTGCCGACCCTTTCACTTACTCCTCCTTCCTGGTCTCCAGCTCTTTGAGAGCAGAGAAGTCAGGCAGATGCCTTCTTTTCCTTCTCTCTTCCCTAGAACCCCGTATTTAGCCAGTGGCCAACAGAGATGACCTCCGGGACCTCATCCTTAACCCCCTCCTGGGTCTCAGCTACCCCCACCCTTTGCCTCTGTCCCCTGTAGCCACTGCAGGGGTCCCTCTCAAACGTCACTCTATGTGAATCTTTGCATTTTCCAAAGTGCTAGTAAGCTCTGCCTTGGCCAGAATTATTGGCAAAACAAAATTCATATCCCTAAAAAATAGGCTTTAATGCTGTGTTAATTATGAATAAAAAATTAATAAAAGTAAGCTCTTCCTCAGAAGTAAAAAAAAATTAAAGACACAAATAAATATAAATAATTATTTTTTAAAGTTCTAGGAGTTGGGAGAATGGCTTGAGCCCAGGAATTTGAGACTAGCCTGGACAACATAGTGAGACCCTATCTCTAAAAAAATGAAAAATATATTAGCTGGGTGTGGTGGCATGTGTCTGTAGTCCCAACTACTCAGGAGGCTGAGGCAGGAGGATGGCTTGAGCCCAGGAGTCATCCCAGCCTGGATGATAGAGTGAGACCAATCAACTAACAGGGGGCACCTCCCCTACTCAAGCACCATCCATGGCTCCCCACTGCCCACCAGATCAAGACCCAGCCATTCAAACTGGCCTTCACAGTCAACTCCTGCATCCCTCCGGCCTCCACACCTCTCACACTCCAAGGCCAGGGAAAGCCACCTGCCAAGTCACACCCTCCAGTTTCTCTGTGCTTGAGCCCTACCCCCTCTTCTGCACTTGTTGAAATCCAACCTCTCCCTGCAGCCCCAGCTCAAATGTCACATCCTGCACGTCGCCTTCCCTGACCTCATGTCTGCCTCCTCCAAGCAGCAAAACTTCAATTACTTGTGTCTCCTCTTCTTCACCTGGCGACATGCCCCACACCTTCCACGCCCTCTTCCCAAGGGCCCAGCACCAAGTGAGAGAGTATAATCGGAAAAAAGAGGGATAAGGAAGTCTTCTAAGTTTACCACCTGCTGGGGCAAGTGGAGATTCTTGTCTTCTCATCTGTCTGCCCACTTGCTGAGGTCAGCCACACATCCACCCACCGACCCAGGAGGACAGACACATCCAGAGGCGGAGCTGACTTTGTCTGGACACACCTGGAGCAGATGGGTTGGCCAAGGACAACATCCTGGTCAGAGGGTCAAGGTGTCTGGCAGTGGGTGGGGAGGAGTGGCGCGCGGGGAGCAGAACCATTCTGGTGCTGCTTGTTGAGGCTGGAGGTCTTCCTGGAGGAAGAGGGTGTTGTAGGCTGCAGAGCCTCCAGGGGTGGGTGCGGGGGAGAGGTTAGGCTCAGGATCCAGAGAGAGAGGAACGGCTGGTTCCCAAGGGCTGGGGGAGCCAGAGAATTCCTGAGGCCTCCAGAGGAGGCTTCTGGAGGGGTCAGTGGGGCCCCAGGGGTTGATGGTTTAGGGATCGCTGTCCAAACTTGGGAGCAAACCTGGAAGTAAGGGCCATGGGGGGTGTTGGTGTGGGAGGAGGGTGGTCCAGAGCGGGACTTGGGCGCTAATGCGGCCCAGCAGCGGCAGGAGGGCGGGGAGCCTGATGGTTTGGGACTTATCGGTGTCCAAGTCTCTCTCTCTCTCCGTCTCTCCATCTCAGTCTCAGTCTCTTTCTCTTTCTCTCTCTCTCCACCCCTCCACACGCCTATTTCTTGTTCCCCGCTTTTCTGGGGGAAGCGCTGGCGTCCCCGCCCAGAGCCCTGCGGGGGCCCGGGGCGGGGTATCCGGCGGGGCGGACCCCTTGTCGCGGGCCGGGCGGGGTTAAAGGGTTGGGCTGCGGGACGGCGCGGTCAGATCCCAGGTAGTGGCGCCGGTGGATCCGGATCAAGGGCAGGAGGCTGAGACCCGCGGGTGAGTGCGCGCGTGATGGGGGCTGTAACCCGAGCGCCGCCGCAGCGCTGCGCTGGAACCCCAGGCTCGCGAGGTTCGGTGCCGGCCGGATGAGGGCGAAGGTCTGCGCGCATCGTCGCGGGGAGCGCAGCCAGCCACGGGGATCCCCCAGGACCCAGGACGGGGCTGCATGCCCGGGGCACTCGCGGGGAGAGGGGCACGTGGGTGTGTCCCCGACGTTTGCTGCATTTGTGCGGTTTTTTTTTCTTCTGTGTGCGCCTGGGAGTCCTAGGCGCATCCTTTTCTCTGGGTTTCTGTGATAGGGAGGGGGCCTCCAGAAGACCCCTCTCGTGGTCAGGACATCCCAGATGGGTTCAAGCCCCGCCCTGGGACGCCTCTTTGGGGCTGAATGGGGATTCGCCGTGAGATTTCACCACTGTATGTTGTCTTGAAGGGGAGGCTGTACGTTCAACCGATGGGGTTAGGCGTGTGGTCCAACTGCTATCAGGGACCCTCTGCCCATCCACGCCAGATGCAGAGCCCCTCTATGAAAAGACGGTGTTCTTCTGGCGCCCAGAGTTGGCTCTGAGGGTTGTGTGAGGTCCTGGGGTTAGTCCCAGGTGATGTTTGTCTGATAGATGCTGGAAGGATAATGTTTTCCGGTCTCCCAGGGACCTGGTGCAGCCTGGGTATGCAGGGTGGCCGAGGCTGGCCACCTGAGGAGTCTCTGGCTGGAGAGGCCCAGGCTGAGGGCATCTCACCTCGTTCATCTGCCCGCTCACCCCTCATGCATGCACTCATTGTGTGTCTCTCACCGCCCCGTAGGCAAAGGAGAGGGCCAGGGCTAGCCCCGCACCCAAAATTCCTCCTACCCTGTGCCCCTTGCCCCACACCTTATTTCTGGGTCCTGGAGTTGCGCCCAGCCAGGGTTGGCAGCATCAAACTCTTCCTTGACTAACTCCAAACCCCAAAGAGGTGGAACCTCCCCAAATCTTCCCTACCATCCTCATTTCACAGGCAAGGAAACTGAGGGCCAGTGTCCAGTGGGAGACACCCACTAGACACCCACACTGGACACTGGACACCCACAGTGTCCAGTGGGAGACACCCAGTGTCCAGTGGGAGAGCTGGGATTTGAAAACAACAAGCCCTGTTTGACCCCAAAGTCCCGGGCCACTTTTGGACGTCCCCGGCATCACCAAATAGCCCAGCTTGGGTTTCTGAATGGTAACATTAACTCTAGCCTGGTGTCCGGTGGTGACCCAGGTTGGCATCTGCAGAGGGTCTTGGATGACTTGAGAGGTATTCAGGGAATGGGACCCATCTCTCCTTCCTTCCTTCCCTCCTTCCTTCCTTCCTTCCTTCCTTCCTTCCTTCCTTCCTTCCTTCCTTCCTTCCTTCCTTCCTTCCTTCCTTTCTTTCTTTCTTTCTTCCTTTCCTTTCTTTTTTTTTTTTTTTTTGTTGTTGTTGAGACAGGGTCTCACTCTGTTGCCCAGGCAGGAGTACAGTGGCATAATCATAGCTCACTGCAGCCTCGACCTCCTGGGCTCAAGCAATCCTCCTACCTCAGCCTCCTGAGTATCTAGGACTACAGGCATGCACCACCACTCCTGTCTAATTTTTGTATTTTTAGTAGGGATGGGGTTGCACCATGTTGCCCAGGCTGGTCTTGAACTCTTGGGGCTCAAGTGATCCACCCGCCTCAGCCTCCCAAAGTGCAGGGATTACAGGCATGGGCCACTGCGCCTGACTAATCTCTCCTTGTTGATAAACCTTGGACCTGATTCTCCAAACCCCAGATGTCCAGGTCACAATAATGAACATGATGGCAGCACCAACAGTAATGAGAGGTATCATTGATCAAAGGCTTACTGTGTGCCTGGAAGATTGCAGCCCCATGAGGTGGGTAAATAGGCCTTCTGTCTTAATGGATGAAGAAATCGAGGCTCAGAGAGGTGCAGACACTCACCCGAGGTAACACAGCAAAGAGGCAGAGCTTTATAGAATATTTTCTGAGGCTCATGTCCAGGTGTGGCCATACTTGGGATGGTGGGCAGAAACAATTACAGTCCTGCAATGGTCTAGATTATTAGGTTATGAAATTTCTTTTTCTGCCAGGATCCTCTTTGGGCCAAGGAAATTTTTAGCAAAAGGCTTGAATATGATCAAAGCTGCGATAGGACTGTCTTCTTTACCCCATTTGCCAACTCGGCCCTGCCTTCATTAGTCATAAATGACTCTGAAGCTCTTTCTCAGAACCTTAGAAATTTAGAGTGCTGAGTGGAGACTCAAGACCTAGAAGCCAGGCTGGGCGCGGTGGCTCACGCCTGTAATCCCAGCACTTTGGGAGGCTAAGGCTGGAGGATGGTTTTTTTGAGCCCAGGAGTATGAGACCAGCCTGGGGAATATAGGGATACCCTATATTAATTTTTTTTTTTTTTTGAGGTGGAGTTTTGCTCTTGCTGCCCAGGCTGGAGTGCAATGGTGCGATCTGGGCTCACTGCAACCCCTGCCTCCCCAGTTCAAGCTATTCTCTTGCCTCAGCCTCCTGAGTAGCTGGGATTACAGGCATGTGCCACCACGCCCAGCTAATTTTGTATTTTTAGTAGAGATGGGGTTTCTCCATGTTGGTAAGGCTGGTCTCGAGCTCCCGACCTCAGGTGATCCTCCTGCCTTGGCCTCCCTAAGTGCTGGGATTACAGGTGTGAGCCACCGTGCCCGGCCCTTTATTAATTTTTTTTTAACAAAAGAATAAAAAAAATTAGCTGAGCATGGTGGCAGGCACCTGTAGTCCCAGCTACTCAGGAGGCTGATGTGGGAGGATCACTCAAGCCCAGGAGGGGGAGGTTGCATTGAGCCAAGATCACACCACTGCACTCCAGCCTGAAGGACAGAGCAAGACCCTGTCTAAACAACAATAACAAAAAAACCAAAAAAACAAATAATCAACAACAACAAAACAACTTAGAAGGCACCTCTCAGCTCTGGCCTTCTGCGGTCTGGCACTTTGGGGGAATGTATGAGTCTCTGGGGTAAAGCCAGCCCTCTGATGTTGAGGAATTCAAGATGGTACCATGAATCAGTGTGGATGGGAGCAGGCTGCCTTGACTAAAGGCTTGGAGTGAAAAGGAGGGCTGGGATGTAGGGTGATGGGACCAGTGTTGGGGTGCTCTTCTGTCAGGCTCCTGGCTGGTCCCAACCCCTGCAGTTCAAGAAGAGGCATGTATCTGATACCTGGCGTCGGCCTGGGTCCGTGCCCTGCATTCCTTCTTGGGAGCCCACACACCTTGTATAACAAGTCCTTAGCTGGTGAATGGCTGGGCCAACCTGACAAACCGGCGCACCCTGGGCGTGGGCCGGGACGCAGAATCAGTCACTGGCTTTCACCACCGCCAGATAATGCGGGCCCCGGCAGGGCAGGGCCACCTCTGCCAAGGCCGGCCTGCTGGATGAGATCGGGGGCTGGTGTAGATAGGGAGTGGGCATGCCAGCCGCCCACAGCATTCTGAGAGTGCCACCTTTGAACTGCTCTCACTTCTATCAAATAGCAATAATAGGAGTAGTCATCATGGCTAACATTTTGTGAGCTACGTGACAAGGCCTTTCCATACCTCATTTCACTGAGCCGTCCTAAACAACCTTAGGGGGTAGGTCCTGTTATTATCGACCCATTTCACAGATTGGCAAAGGGAGGCTGATGGCAGGGACTGGGTTCACCCAAGGCTGCTAACCTAGGGAAGAGGAGAGCTGAGATTTGAACCCAGGCCTGTTGGAGTCAAAAGTGCACATTAAATTAAATTAATTTATGTTTTGAGACAGAGTCTCACTCTGTCCCCCAGGCTGGAGTGCAGTGGTGTGATTTTGGCTCATTGCAACCTCCACCTCAGCCTCCCAAGTAGCTGGGGATACAGGCATCCACCACCATGCCCAGCTAATTTTTTTGTTTTTAGTAGAGACAGGGTTTCATCATGTTGCCCAGGTTGGTCTTGAATTCCTGACCTCAAGTGATCCTCCCTCCTCGGCCTCCCAAAGTGCTGGGATTACAGGCATGAGCCACCGTGCCTGGCCTGATTTTCTTGTTTTTTAGTAGAGATGGAGTCTCACTATGTTGCACAGGCTGGTCTCAAACTCCTTGGTTCAAGTGATCCTCCCATCTTGGCCTCCCAAAGTGCTGGGATTACGGGCATGAGCCACTTCACCCGGCTGATACCTTTCCTCCATTAACTAACTCCATAGTTTACATTAGGATTCACTCTTTGTGTTGTGCAGTAAACTAATGCATTTTTATAATTGATTAAATGTTTTTGAATGGGTGACATGTGCTCATGGTATAGGAAACCAAAAGGACTAGAAAAGTGGACAGTAGACTTAAGTTTCCCTTCCACCCCGCCCTGAGTTCCTTCAGTCCCTTTCCAGAGGCTGCCACCATTTCTCCTGGGTCCTCAAAGCTTTCTCTCTCTCTTTTTTCTTTTCTTTTCTTTCTTTCTTTTTTTTTTTTTAGGATTACCATTTATTGGTAACAAACATTAAGTTTTACTTACATTCCATGGGGAGAAAAATTCCAGCGTAAACAATGAATGGAGGCAGTACTTAACCCGCAGGGGTACCAGGTTTTTTATACGGACCACACACGGAGCCTCGGTGCACACACTTCTTTTTTCATTTTTATTTTTTTGAGACGGAATCTTGCTCTGTCACCCAGGCTGGAGTGCAGTGGCACGATCTCGGCTCACGGCAACCTCCGCCTCCTGAGTTCAAGCGATTCTCCTGCCTCAGCCTCCCGAGTAGCTGGGACCACAGCACACGCTGCCAAGCCCATCTAATTTTTTGTATTTTAGTAGAGATGGGATTTCACTGTGTTGTCCAGGCTGGTCGCGAACTCCTGAGCTCAGGCAATCTGCCCGACTTGGGTCTCCCAAAGTGCTGGGATTACAGGCGTGAGCCACCGCGCCCGGCCCAGTGCACACACTGTGTACAGTAACACAGCATCAAAAGCAACACAGCTATATAGAGAAACGTAG